TATATACAGTAATGGACTTCTATACATTTTACATCAGATTAAAACTTTGGGTGTAAGATTCAGGTAATTATTTATTAAAAGCTAGACATTTTAAATGAGAATAAGAAAGAAAAGTATGTCTTTGTGCCCCATTTTCCCTGTTAATGCCTTATCGGCCCCCCTGGCTAAACTTTGCTAGATCCGCCCCTGCACAGTTACCAGCTGTCATCTACGTAGAAAAAGATCCTGGTGTAGAAAGTAATATTAGATAAATTCTAACAACAGCTTATCAAGCTTAAACGTGCTGCTGTTGTTCAGCCGCTGGTTTCCTCTTTCTGGTGCAACGTGGGCCAAAAACAAAGAAGAGAGACGGACTCGCGACAGAAAAGCCGATCAGCTGATCATTGATCAGTTTCACATTTGAAGTAGCAGCAGGAGAGGGAGGGAGAGAGAGAGGCAGTCGCTCCATGTATCGGTTGTTAAGCTTAACGCTGGAATGCTTTACAAACATTCAGAGATGAACTTACACACTTGCTTTACTTCTCTCTGGGATAACTTTCTCGGAGATGAAATGCCGGTTTGGTAGCGAGGCTACAAATACACACAACCGCTCTATCACGTGAGCACACTGCTCCAACATGCTACGGTTATGAGGCGAGTTACGCCGTGTCGCAAGGTTTGTGAGGTGCTTTTTTGATATTTAATGGATCGGATTACATTTTTTTTATTTCTCTCCGATATCCGATCCAGTAATTTACATCAGTATCGGACTGATACGGATACGTAAAATCGGATCGGTCCATCTCTAGTATGTTATAGGAAAAACTGCAGGAAAGTGTTATGTGCAAGTGCCCTATACCTGGGTTTAATTGGGTCTGAAAGTAACAAAGCAGTTTTTGTGATATTGACCACACTGCTTTGGGAGCTGCATGCAAGGAATCAAACTGATTCAAAATCATAGTAACTAGGAGTCAGCCTTTTATACACCTATAAATTCACTTAGCACAGCAAAATTCACTTAAATCATCAAACAATTATAAATAAGGATTAAATAAATACATCTAATAAAACTAACACAAAGAAAGTGTTTTTAAATGAACAGAAGATTCGTCTAACCATTTGGGGCATCACAGCTTACTTGGAAAAAAACTTGAATAGTGTTAAAAATATCCCTTGAAAAAGCAGTGGTGGTATATGATAATACAGCCTGTGACTTATGAACTAATTTCCCCAACATTTACGATGTAATTTATCTGAATTTGGAGTTGAGAAACAAATGATGCTGCATTTTTATGAGGAGAGTGTTTACCCTCCCTGTACAGCAGATTCCCAGTAATATTAGGATCCTCTGTAATACAGTCCATACCCCTAACAGTAATGTGTAATTACAATGTAAAAAGTGTGTGTGTGTGTGTGTGTGTGTGCGCGTGTGTGTGTGTGTGTGTGTGTGTGTGTGTTGGTGGGTGGGAGGGTGAAGAAGCAAGGTGAACTCATTACTAAAAAAAAGTACACACAGTATAATTTCTGTCTTCTTTCTTTTAAAGGTACAGTGTGTAAAATCTCACCACTAAATGTCAGTAGATTGCAGATCGCAGTCAGTTCACTTTGCTTACTGCTCCATAATTCAAGAGAGTAATCCTCGCTGCGGTGACCGCCGACAAACAAAATATTTAAGAATCAAAGTTTTCTGACTTATAAACTGTAACTTTCTCTTATGAAAACGGTAGTTATGAATTGGATTGTTAGGAAGTGAAATCTGTTTTCGGTCACAAAAAGGAACCTTTCTAATGGTACCAGTAAGGCTGGTAAAATGAATTATAGTATTATGCCTGTGATTATGCTTTTGTCATCCAAAAGAGAAACTTTTTTTGTCTCTTTCATTTGCATTTTTGCTTCTTTGGTGAAGATAAATGTAGGTATGATCCTTCATATCTTGTATCTGAAGGTGCGGTGGTGGATTAAAATTTGAGTTTGGCTTACAAGTCCCTTGTGCTCTACTTTGGTGTGTATGGGGTTGGTTTATAGCCACATGCATAAAACGTGATTAGGTGAAACACTGGTGTCTATCTTGGTCACCGTGTTCAAGATGGTGGGCCGACATAGCTGCCTCCACAAATCTGTGCCCCCTGCTTTGTATTATTAATGGATTAATTATAAGTTTGTAAGAACATATCAATTTGTTAGAAAATATAAGCAAGAGTTTAAATAACATAGCAGTACAGTAAAACCTCAAACCACAATGACAATTAGCAACATTAAAAATACAGGACTGGCAACATATTTCTATGCATATTCAAAATTTCTGATATGCAGAATTCCTAACCCCTTCTGTGTTTATCTATCACCCTTGTTCCTCACCTTGTTTTCCGTGTCTCTCCCGCTTTCCTCCATCAAGTCATCTCCTTATATTCGCATCTCTCACTATCTTCTCTTGGTCTTATGATACTGTATTTCCTCCACCCCTCTTAACCTTCACCAATCACCTCTTCCTCACTTGTCAGGGTTCGTAACTGTGTTACCCTTTTGTCACACCAGGCGTGCAGGGACAGCCCCAGCTTGAATATTTCAAAAGGGAGCAATCCCCAACATGACCCTATCATCTGTTTTCTCCTCTGATCCTCCATTTTCCCCTGTCAGGCTTTCTTAGTCAGGGGCCTCGACGGCTTTTATTCCCACTCTCTCATGGGAATAAGAGATCCCTCTCTACTAGAGGTCTTGATCTCAGTTGCTGTACTTCTGAGTACAGATTTTGAATCAACACACTTACATGCATGGTAGATAAGGAACCATTATTTTCTTTTTCTGTAGAAAATGTCACACATATATATATATATGTGTGTGTAAGTTTTCTGCACTATACTAGAGGGACTGTTCTTCAAAACATATTCCCTCATTTGGTGGTTTGAAAAGTGGAGTCTAACATGTTGCTCCAAAGTCTCCCACATGTGTTTAAATCTCAATCTGACTGCGAGGTCATAGAGTATGATTCACATCATTTATTCATTCTTACCCCACTTTTTAGTGACCTCTCCAGCGCTTTGGATCAAAACATTCATCCTTACAGCGAACCAGGATAGAAATGTTTCGTTACAGGATAAAAGTGATCACTTGGAAAAACTTTGTATTGAATTGGCGACAAATGGATTTAAACAAAACCAGAAAATGTCCCCCACAACAGAGCCACCATATCATATCAGTGTAAGGGGATGCATTTGGATTTCTGAATTTCTTGCTTTTCCATCATGTCTTGCGGGAATTTAGAATAAGAACAACCTGCTACTGTCAGCGTACCTCCAGGCAATAGTGTTTTAGCATAACTTTCAACTAAAATAGCTCTTAAGACTACTGTATCACCAGTGTTTTGAAGGAATCAGGAATTTTCTATTTTTTTCTGTTTGAATTTAACAGATCAGACATGACAAAAATACAGTTAACATGATTAAAGGCAGTCTAAAGTGAAGCTCACACAAAAACAAGCCCAAACAACCTTGATTACATTTACAAACACTGCTACAAAAATGGGTCAGGCTGTGTTCATAAAAAGCGTTCTGATCCTTGGTAATCAGCAGAGAGAGTTATAGTAAAAGAGTACCGGCAATTTCCATTTTGTAATTTTCAAACCAGCATGAGGATCGTCTGTGATTATGATGCTGGTGCATCAGTGGGGGGAAAAGTATTTTTCATAATGCTAAACTGAACATTTTTTAAGGGTAAGTTTCAGAAAGGCTTTTTAAAAAATCATGTTATCATGCTTGTTATATCTTGGACCTTCAGGCAATAGATTCCAGCAGAGAGGCCCTGACTCGAAAATGCTTTAAATTTGTCCAGCCTTTAAACCTTTAATGCTAATTGCCAGCTCGTTATTGATTCTTGGACTCTAGTTGAACTTCTTTACATAATTCACAGTTCATAATAATCTTTATTTATTTCTAGGTGCGACCCCTCAGTTCATTCATTGTCTGAAACAAGCTGTTTTATCTCTTCTCCGTTAAAACCAGCTGTCTTCAGATTGGCTGCTCTTTGCAAACAGAAGGTTTAAACCTCAGGTGGGTGGGGCTTCTGTATTTACTAGTTAAAGGGAGGACTCTTAGGCACATTTAGGTACTGATCTTTGGCACTGATACTTGGTATTGTACTAAGAAATGAACTCACTAAATAATAAACTTGCTTATTCTTAAGCAATTATATTCTTCTTAACTCATATTTCAAAGAATCCTAGGAGAGATAATCCCCTTGTTATTATGGTCCATATCATTCTTATACCAGAGATCTCACACCACAAGTACACAAGCTATTTGTTTTTCTTTTGAGCACTGTTGGTCATGAATGGAGTGTCTGTACAGACCGCCTTCAGCAGGTTCTCCTGCAAATCTTTAGTGATTCAGTTTCTACTCATCTCTTGTTTTCTAACATCTAGAATTTTTCTTTCTTTCACATCCATGAAAACCTGCTCCCTGAATTTGAACTGATTTTGCCAGCTGGTGTCTCCTGGAACTTGAAGCGTCTTGGTAGTCCCACTTTAAACCATTGCCTTTTTTGTGTAATAAAAAGAGTCCTCATCAGCTTTTGAGACACCTTGAACACCTGTAACACTGAATGCTGGATGACTGTTTAAGTTTAAGTGCTTTCTTATGGATTTCTTCAAAGTTAAATTGTAACAATTTGTTATTCTAACATACTCCGAGGTAATTAGAACAATTATACTCAGGAGATGGACGGTAATGATATGGCTGTAATGGGGAAAAAAGCATAAAAATGAAAGAATATTAACTATGCAGGTGTTAATAATTTTCATATTCATTTTCATTTTTATTATTATCAAACTTCTACATTTTAATGACATTTTCACTGACTTTTCGATTGTGTTATATTGACTAATCAAACAAAAGACAATTAAATGTCAGGCCACAGACTGAGCGACAGGTTGAATTTAACATCCTGCTGCAGCCATCCGTATTCCTGTGGGGACAGAATGCTGTGATAGCATTGCAGCCTTTGAAAGGAGGAATGCTGATATATAGTCCCTTCTGCTGTTTAGGACGCAGTCAAGAGAAATTAGTCAGTGGCCCTGAGTCACTGTGAGAGGGTTGAGAAATGCAAATCTTATTGCCTAAGCACATTTACTGCACTGTAAAATTGTCAAATAGTCATTTTCAACAATCGCTGATGGGTTGATGGGAAAACTTCAGGTCACTTGAGGTCATTTAGAGAGAAAAAAGAGCCCTGTGATGCTGCAGTAGGTGATGTTTGTCATTTTCCATTCAAGGGCATTGCTGCGGAAGAGTTCAGTGGGCCTGCAAGAGTGATAGCAGCGAGGATCAGAGAGATTTGACATCTGCAGCACGAGAAATTGCGGGTTGTTTGTAGTACTTACAAAGAAAAAAAAAGATCTGGATAATCTGTCCCCTCTCTCTGTCCCCCTTGTGTAATCTGAGTAATCTTTATGAGTGAGTACCCAGGTCTGTCTGACAAGGTTACGCTTCCTCCTGTATTACACCTGAGAGACTCATCGTTGCTTCTAAAAGAAAAAACTGTAAACTCTGAAATAGCTGTGTTTGAGCACAGCTCCGGAGAGGCTGATGGTGTTTATGGGGTGGGGTTACTGCAGTTTGCTATCCCCTGAATGTAATCAGAAAACACTACAGCAACCTGATAGTGTAATAAAAAAATATATAATTATTGTTTGCTCTAAAATAAGTAAGAGATAGACATAACTACCCTTTGAAGTATGCTTTTTGCTGCATTTGTCAGGTTTTTATTTCTTTGTTTGCTGACTGGATTCTACAGTATCTGCTTTCTGTTAAACTCCTGGTTTCACTGACGTATAATACACAAGGAATTAAAACTATATAAAACAATAAGATCACTTTCTGGCCATTTTAGGGTGAAAATGAAAGCTGCCGTTTGAGAATTTTAAATGTAGGTAATCATGCTGAGTGTCTTAAAATTTAGTGTTATGGATATTTTGTTAAATCACTAATGGCCCTTGGAAAATCTTGGGGCTTAAAGCTCTCTTTGAGGTTGTATTACTGTGTGTAGCGATAGAGCTTAAAGCTGGGTTATTCACTATGTCAGATTAATGTGTGAATTTTATTTGTTCCTCTATCTCATTTTCTCCAAATGTGAAACACTTGGTCCAACATTTTATAAACCCAGCATGGTGCTTCTTATAATTAAAGAACCCATCCAGACGTCTGCAAAGATCTATAAAATATCCTACTTGGACTAATAATTTGTCTCTTTTTTTGTTCATAAATGAGTCCGATTAAAAAAATGAAATGTCGTCCTACCTCTGTAGATGAATGAAAACTGATATGTGTCACTGCATTCAGCTAACTTTAGCTACTGGATTCTCAGTGTATGTACAAAGCAAGATTCAAGTTTCCATATCAGACTTCACTGAAGTTGTCTGTTGAAGCAGGCCTTCCAAACTACTGCGTCTTCTTTCAGGCACAATAAATCAAAGACACAGAGACATGACTCTCAAAGAATGCTGAATTGAAAAGTGTGTCTGCAGCAGCAAAGGCATGCAGTTTTTATGTTCTGCTGACCATTGAAATTACAGTGACTTTAACTAATGCTCCACAATAACTGCCCAAAAAAGTGGCATTTCACGTTGGTGCCAAGTTTCCGGAACTGAAGAATAAATCATTTGGCACAGTAAAGGTCAAACATCAAACAAAAGTAAAACTCACCAAAACACAGTTCTGATGGATTTTAACATGACTACCTGAATGATTACACATTAATTGATCTAACCAATTAATGTCATACTAACAATATGTCTGGAGGGATGGTGATGCCAGTTTGCCTTCTGAGTTAGTCAGAAGGTCATGGATGAATTGCTGTGATATCTGAACATCTACTTGATGTATTGGAACGAAACAAAAAATAATGAAAAGATTCCCACAGAACCTCAGTGACTTTGACCTCCAGGTGACTTTTATTAGACCAAAACAGTGAGAATGAAATTAAGGGTTTCTAGTGAAATGTCTCTACTACTTCTAGATGGAACGCAGATGTATTTAACACAGACATTCATTTTCCGTTCGTGGTCTTTGCATTTGAGTGAATGTCTCCTTTACTTTTGCACCATCATTGGGCCATGTAATGCTTTGGTTTCCTGAGCAATTATTAGTTCTCTTATCAGTCTCAGCTGTAAATTTTACAGTGCTAAATAGAAAGCCTTAGCACATTGTCAAGCTAAACTAAGACTGTTAACATGAGTAAAATTACTTGCTGAACATTAGCGTACTGTCATTGTGAACCTGCAGTGTCAGTGTCAGATAGAGCTGCAAGCTTTCAAAACTGGGTTTAACTGTATGCATTTTTATATGACGCTTGGAGAGTTTATTTACATATATTTATGTTGATGCCTACATATCTGTGCTTTTTTTCTGTTTCAACAGAGGGACAGGAAGTGAAAGTCGGTGAATACAATGCAATTGCTGATGTGCTGGACCTCATCAACAACTCCATCAGGTTCCAAGGTATGTGGCTGTGTGAGGAATCTAAAACTCACTAAAGAAAATCTGTTGATTATTCCAATTTTTTTTTTAACCAGGATGTTTCAGTAAAGACTAAAAACTTAGCAGCTCCTTTTATGCTCACTTATGCTCTTGAACCCAAACTCCTTCCAATTAACATAAATATACAGACCCACTCAGGCAACACCACCACTCAGTGAAGGAACTCACCTCCCTAAACTGTTCTCTCACAGCTAAATTATTTACCAGTACATTTTTCTTCAACCCCTCCCATGTTTCCCTGTGTTGACATACTTTGTAATTTGTGCGATGCTCAAAGCCATTTTCTGAGCCTTTCTCCACATACAGAAAGTCTAAGACTGTAGCTCCTAAAAAGCTTGTTTCCACATCGCTGACCACAGTAAGTGGAAATATGTAAGATGATGCTATTACGATCGATTGGCATACTGGAGATAGAAAAATACAGCAAAAAAAAGGGGAAAAGAAAGTGCAGCATCCTAAGAGCCATTATCATAGAGACACTTAACTAGTGGAAACTGGGGGACCAGGAAATTATCTCTAAAAATAACCGGTGCTACTGCAGCATCACTATTCATTGGAAGAACTGAAGTTAAGACAGTTTTATTTTATGCTTTACTATGATAAAATAACTCTTTTGCTTGTATCACAAACCTTCTTTCTTGTAGGTGTAGAGCCACCGAAGGATCGGACGTTTGTGCGTCTGCAGAGGCGCCACATCAACGTGCCGCTCTACAGCATCCTGTCCACCATCACCATACTGGGCATGCTCATGGCCGGGGCCTTCTTGTTCTTCAACATCAAGAATCGGAATCACAGGTCAGCACAAGTTGTACAACTAGCCAGCAAAGGTGAAATTTGTCAATGTAGAGTGGAAGGAAGAAGGTAAATTATGGACTAGTAGGAAGAGAGAAGTAGTGGTAGAAGAATCTGAGGAGACTGAATGGTATTGAAAAGAGATGGCACGATACCACTTTTTAATGTCCGATACCGATTCCGATATCATAAATTTGGATATCTGCCGATACCGATATGAATCCGATATGGCGTATTTTGTAATCAATAAAACTGTTTTTTATAAATATCTTGTGCATTTTGTATAAGTTTTAAAAAACAAGAGACTGAATCTATTCTGTTATACCTGTATGCAAAAAATACACTCCACCCAAAACATTTTATAGTTCAACAACACTGATCAATCTGATAAACTAACTAATAGGGTTGCCAACTCCCAGCAAAAATATTAGGGAACCACCCCCAGCCCTTAATCGAATTAATCAACTTTAATTTAATGCAAGTATAAAATCAATTATTTTTCTACAATATTTAAATAGATTCAACATCTTTCTTCAACAGAATTGCAGATTGCACAGATGGTACCTTCCCAAAGGAAAAAGTACTATAGCTTACTAGGGTATATTAGACTTATTAGTTACTATATACAATAATGGATTTCTATACATGTAATCAGATGACCACTTTTGTTGTAAGATTCAGATAATTATTTATTCAAAGTTTTTAAATCACATAACAAAGAAAAGTTTTTCTTTGTGCCCCCCTCTCCCTGTTAATGCCCTACTTGGCCCCCCACAAAACTTTGCTAGATCCGCCCCTGCACAGTTACCAGCTGTCAGCTACTTAGAAAAGGATCCTGGTGTTATTTCTCAGAAACAATTCATAACTTCCCTTCAACCCATTCATGTCACCTATAAGGTAAACCTGTTTCTCCATCACCTGTTCAGCTCTGATGATTCAGTAAGGACATCTCCTGGTTTCATCTTCATGTTTCCCTCTCACCAGATAACCAAACCGATATCATGACCAGCACTTTTTACAGCTGTGGCTCCAGCAAACATCAGCTGATACTAGAAAGTAATATTAAATACATTCTAACAACAGCTGATCAAGCTTAAATGCGCTGCTGTTGTTTAGCCGCTGGTCTCTTCTTTCTAGCGCAAAGTGGGCGATAAACAAACAAGAAAGACGGGACTTGCGGCAGAAAAGCCGATCAGCTGATCATTGATCAGTTTCATGTTTGAAGTAATAACAGGAGAGGAAGGAGAGAATGAGAGAAGTAGATGCAACTGCGCAGAAAAGACAGAATAACTCCAGCTTTGTGTCCATTTTTTAATTCTAGCTGAAGTACGGGACAAATCGCTTCCTTTTCACCTCAATATGGAACTCCGATGGTCAGTCCAGCTGTGGCTCCATATATCAGTTGTTAAGCTTAACGTGGAAATACTATGCAAACATTCAGGGATGAACTTACACACTTGTTTTACTTCTCTGGGATAGTTTTCGCCGAGATGAAATGCCGCGGTTAGGAAGCATGCAGCGACGCTTCAAATGCTCCAACAGACCGCCGACAGGTCTCGCAGACAACAGCCGCTCTATCACGTGACACATACTGCTCCGATGCGCCGAGCTGGGTTACACCAAGTAGCGCGTTTTATGAGGTGATTTTGTGATACTTCGGATCGGATTACATTATTTATTTCTCTCCGATATCCGATCCAATAATTTAGGTCAGTATCGGGCCGATACCGATACGTAATATCAGATCGGTCCATCTCTAGTATTGAAATCAAAAAAATGATGAAGCATGAGCATAATGATGAACTATTTCTGGAGAAATACTATTATTTAGCAGCTCTCACTTTGTATAAGATTAAACTCTACTCTATCATCATTTGAATCTCCTCTAATCCTTTATTCTTTTCTTTTCAGATTAATCAAGATGTCCAGTCCCTACATGAATAACCTGATCATCCTGGGAGGCATGCTCTCCTATGCATCTATCTTCCTGTTTGGTCTGGACGGAGGTTTTGTTTCTGACAAAGAGTTTGAGACCCTCTGCACCGTGAGTCCTCTTAAGAGTGTTCTCCTATAAATAAAATAGTGAATAAAGGCAAGAATTTAAAATTTGCCTCAATTAAAAAGGAGAAAAAACTACCCATCCACTGCCACACCACCAAAGTATATTTTATTAGTCAAAAAAGAGATGCAAGCTTTATGTCTTTGTTTTAAATCAATTTATCAGCATATTAACCAAACATATTCTGTGAGCACTCGTTGGTTCAAGTTGATTGGTTTTTAAAAAAGAAATGGACTCAATCGTGTCCAGAGGAGGCGAAACCTTTATTATAAACAGTGTACACATCTTATCTGAATATGTGTATACAAATATGAAATTCTCTTCTGGCCATGTTTGCTCTCATCTTATGTCAGTAATGTCAAACTCATACAGCCCACTTTGATATTACGTGAAACTCTCCTTGCTGTCAGTGGAAAGGAATTTAACTTTTTATTGAATACCTCAGATATTTTAAAATAAGATTTATCATCGCAGTGTTTCTGCATGATAACAAAATGCTGCTGCAGTAAATGAAAGACAGCTGTCAGCGTGACTGTTTGGGCTTAAATTTGCAAAACGTTCTTGTAGCTCTCTGACTGCCGTATAATAATAAAACAAAGTTTTTGTTATTTTACAGAATTTATTTTATTTTATTTATTCTTTTTGTTTTACTATGGATTTTAAAAAAATAGTATATAGTGAAAAACTTTTCTATCATGTAATTGTTTATCAGGTGCTTAGTTATTTTGGTGTAGTATGAATGGGCTTTATCTGTAGGAAAAACGGTAAAACGTAGGAAAATACAATTAATAAACCGGAATTGATGCCCTCCTACACCTTCAGTGGGCCAGACAGAAGTCTTTGCTGGGTCACTTCTCATCCCCAGAATCTTATGTCATATAACAGTTTCTAAAGACTGGAAAGCACTACCAAAAGATGAATCGTATTCACATGTGACTGTGTGAAAACTAACAGAATCTCTCTCTGCAGGCCTTTTGTAAGCATGCTGCATATTAAGTATCTCCCCTCAGGTAGCATTACTGTGTGACTGTGTAGATACTGGATTAATTAAAGAGTTTTGATTACAGTGATAACTGGTTTCCACTGAGACACCCACCCTGTTCAGATATAGAGACACAAATATGCACATGTGTACCAAAGAGGTGTTAGGCAGAGCACGTCTTGAACTTCTGTCACCTGGTTCAAGCTCTGCTGCAGAGCCACAACAGAGTTTGTCACTTCAGACTTCAGGTGCTGCAGCAGAGGAGCACAGAGGTTTATCCATTCACTGCTACCGATCAATATCTGCTGGTTGCTTTGAGAACAAATGGCGTAATTGTTTTTTCGCTGTCTTCTTCTTTTCTTTACCGCTGTGCCACATTTTGTTGCTTTCTCATATGTGTATGCAGATATAGAGAGCTTGTACACAGATACACAGGTAAAAAGAAAATATGTACCGTATACAGTAATCAAATACAAAACATGAAATCGTGCACACAGGGTCTCTGTGGCTGTATTAGGGTTTTCTCAGTTATAGTTGCACTTGAAGCTTTAAAAACACATCAGCGGTGCCATTTGTGCCGTGGAAGTAAGAGATCTACATTTTGTTTTTCATTAAAATTGAAATGCGCTCAGGAGTGTGACAGCTTCATAGTCCAGGATGTTCTCCCAGAGCTTCAGAGATGGGAAATAAATCTGACAGCGCCTTATTTTTAGAATGCTTCATAATGCTACTTTGAATGAACTTCTGGAGAAAAATGCAAATAGCTGTCAGATCAGATGTTGTTTCCAGCCTTGATCACCAGTTTATGACATGACACAATTTCATGTCTCACTGTTGTTCTGATAGGTTCGGACGTGGATCCTCATTGTTGGATACACAACAGCTTTCGGAGCCATGTTTGCCAAGACCTGGAGGGTACACGCCATCTTCAAAAATGTGAAGATGAAGAAGAAGGTATTGAAAAATATTATGATTTTTTGAAATATTTTTATAAAGGTAACTCAGTGGGTCTAACCTAATCCATTTTCTTAATCGCTTTAGCTGGTTATCCACCTTAGGGTTGTAGGGTGGTCTGGTGCCTATCCCAGTTACCACAGGATAAAAGGCAGGGAAGGACTCCTCACCACTCCATCCAGTCTATATCTTCTCATTTTTCTGATGTGATTGAAACATGGCCCACACACTCCTGCTTCATAGATTTGCAGTAATGATTCCTCCTCCTTAAAAACGTGGTTTGATTTTTCATTTATATTCAAATTTGTTTATATCAAACAAATCTGCAGCTTTCCACTTAAACGGCCATATGCTTTCTCGAGGTTTTTAACCTTATATTTTTCATGACATTACCTACATCTGTTGGATGACATAACTGGCGGTTGATACAACCACAGTCGTATCTGTTGGCACATGACAGTCTTTTCCAGGAGGCTTCGCATGCCTTTTATAACCCCATCGCTGGTGTGTGGGTGATTGTATTCAGTGCATCAGTGCTACTCGTGCTTTTTACAAACTGAAAGACTGGCAGCCCCATGGCACCTGCTTTTAGAATCTTCTCTGTGAGAAAAAGGATCTAGAAATACAAATGGCTTTTTAAACATCTAACACAATCTGCTTTGCTGGCCCAGTTATATAAAAGCGGTGTCGAGCTCACCAAGTGTTGCAACTCTGCTTGGCCTTTTTGTATTTATAGACCTCGCTCTCCCCTCTGTTTCTCTCTCCCTTTCTCTCACCCTCTTGCATATTGGAGGACGTGTGGGTGGCCTGCCAGAGAGAAAGCAGGAAGAGAAGGAGGAAAGAGGAAGGATCGAAGAGTGGAAGAGGTTGGAGGGATGCAGGGAAATAGTGGCAGAAGGGAGAGACAGAAGGGGAAAGGCAAAGCGTGGCAGAGAAAGGGACAAGACAAACAACATGGCCCAAATGGCAAAAAAAAAGTAGGTTGGACTCTATGAAAAGAAAAGGGGATGCCGAGAAAAGAGGGCAAATGATAGATTAAGATAAAGAGAATCCAAGAACTGAGGCCCAGTTTAGATTGAGTTTCCACTGCAGTTCAGTCACAACACATTTGTAATCATTTTTTGTAATGTGTGACTTTGGTCCCGGCCTTTTACATTTCTGTAATTCACTGTCTTTTTCAAAGTGATCATTTAATGAAAACAAAAGAGTTTTTTCCTCTTTGACCTTTCACAGCCAATTGTTTTGCTCCGTTCCCATCCTCTCATCCTCTTTCCCTTGCTAACAGAGACATAACAAATGTTTCTCCAGAAGTAGTATTCAGGCCCTCAGGGTGTGTTTTCTGATGGTTCAAGGCCTGGGTTTGTGTGAGCAGGACAGACACACATCCCACTTCACCCACACGGATTGAGTGCAGGGGCTTTGGCTTCACTAGAGTGATAGTTGCTGGTGGTGTCCTGAAATGTCTGCCAACTGCTGTCAGGGGAGGGACAAACACATCTTTTCTTCAAACTGTGGGATTGGAACTGCATCCCTCACTTCTTCCCCTATCCTCCCCTTCATCTTTTTTTTTCTCTGTAGGAGAGCAGGGATTGTAAATCAAGGGTGAGCTCAATAAAGGCTCCACTTGGTGGGCTGTAGCTGGCACTTGTTCACTTCTTTAAAAGCTCAGTGCCACAGACGATGCAGAGAGAGGAGAGCCAATCAATGTCCTATTATTCCAAACACATAAACACAGATAAGCATACAGTATGTGCTCACAAAAGTCCCCCTGTGTACGAGCCACACACACATATGTGTGTGATTTAAAACCTAAAAGTAGAGATTAAACATGTTGTTTTTACTGCTTCCACATTTTGATCATTATTTCAGGGATTAGATGGATTGCTTCCTAACTGATAAACATACATGAAAGATACAATGCACAAAATCACTGCTGCAAATATAGCTTTCTTAATTTAATAACAATGGGAAAACAGTGGTGTCAAGAAAAAAGCAAAAATGGAGGATGGAAGTCATGCAACAAATATTTTAACTGTAAAACTGTGACTCTGTGCATGATCAGCTCCTCAAGTCTGACGTGTAGATAAGTGTAGACTGTGATTTATTTGGTCCTAACCAAATCTCATCTCTGTATCTGAAATTATTGATAGTTTTTAAGTAATTCATTGACTTTCAGGGTCTCATATCAATCATATCAGTAACCCTGTAAATTTGAATTAGCTCTGAGGCAAAATGTCCTACAGTCGCTAAAACAATGATTGGAGACTGCGGCACAAGCAAAAGTATTGTGGCCATGTGTAATTGGCTTGGAGTCTTGATGCCTTTGAAGTGACTGCTGCATGGACAGAGACTGGTCCTGCGTCCACTTGGAGTCAGTTGGCAAATCTTCAAAGCAAATTTGGTGTTTTAAGATGGTGATGAAACAGCAATAACAAAGAATCAGTCTGCTTGTGATTAAATGAGCTCAAGGTGGTTACATGCAATCTGTTTCTGAAAATGCAGCAATTAACTGTGACAAATTGATGAAAATTGCAAATTTGTTGCAGTTTACAGACAAAGAAATTCACATTTACTACTTCTGTTCAGAGTCCATTGTAGACCTTGTAGATTTCTCAATATTGAACAGAAATTCAATAATTCCTCCACAAATACTGACACAGTTGCTGTAGGATGGCAAAATGGTATAGGCACCTAGCAGACCTGCCTTTTTCTAAGAGTACAATAAGAATATAACCAAGTAGCACCTCAACTAGTTGTGTTGAGTTGACTATGCTGCTTTTGTCGACTATCTGCATTTGTACAGCAGTTATTTGTAACCTCTGCCAGTCCATCTGAGTCACAGGTTGCCTCCCAACATGCGATATGTGCTATCACCTTTAATCAAAAGCTGACACCCAGGGACTGAAGGTGTTGCACACTCAACCTTTGGTTACCACAGCTACTTGCAACCAGTTGCCAAATGAGAAAAAATGCAATGTAATCACCAAGGTAACCTCCAGTTTTTCCTAGTTGCAAAGACAGCCCTCTCTTTACTGTAGTGTTACTGAGGTAGATCGCATGGATGATGTCATGATAACTACCAGTGCTGTCAGATGTTGGTACTCTAAACATGACTTTAAAAAAATAAAAGAAGCAACCATCTATGTCCCCAGTACCATGGACTCACAACTCATGTAGAGGGAGAAAAGAAAATCTGTCTGTCTTTAGAAATCTTTTGCCAAGAAAGTACCGAACCAAGCAGGATACAGTCATGGAAGTGCCACAGAGGCAGTTTTCAGTAATGAAATGTATATTTATATATACATCTACCTGTAGACAGATTTTCACACATCACAACACAATGCAGATGTGGATGCAACATAAAAATTATCCTGAAAAATCAACAAAAAGGATCATTTTAAGAACATAGCTCTGTGGTGGCTCTAAATTATTTGGGCTTTTTCCTCAAATTAGTAACTACAGCCACACTGGAGCCTTACTGGTGTGACTGGTGGAAAGAAAACAGACAACACTTCAGGTAATTTAGATTAATTACTGCCTTGGCAGAGTAACATATCACAGTTTAGCAGATGGTGTAGGGTAGAGTACATTTCTCAGAAATATAACATGTCTAATTACTTGTTAGATTTATAGAATTTTAATCAGTATATGTAATATATGTTGGTTTTCTTCTTCATGTTGTCCTAAATGGCCCGAAGCAATGTGATAAACAATAACAGAGCACATACCTTGTTTTGCCTTGCCGACATACATCTGCTCAAAAGCACTGCATCAAAAGATGGCAGATCAAAAAACACAGTCCCATTATTTATCTCATCCTGGGCCCACTTATGGGTGGAGACCTGCACAACACTGCTGAGTTGCATCTGGGCTATGTGATACTCACCAAACACAGCCCAGCCTGCGTCCCCTGACCTTTCCTTTGATCTGCGGTTCCAGACAGTCAAACGCTATTATAAATAAAGATCACAAACAGGTCACAGCTTTCATCCCTCTAAAGTTCAGGGTACAAAGGAGGAGCTTTTGTGGTTGACAGCAGTGGCTCTTGTTTGGTGGATCTTTTCCACATTCTCTCACCACAAGGTAACAAAACTGTTGCTTGTTGGTGGCATAGTACTGACACAACTGAATGTCCACTCGTGTTTTACAGCCCCGGGATGATTACAGTCTGCTAAATACGCTACGTGTCTTTATCGAATGTTGATCCAGGCCTTGGTCTTTTGGACTCACAGGCCTGGATGGATTCCGATCCCAGCAGGTGGTCATTTGCAGTTAAATACATTGTTACCAGACCCTGATTAGATGGTTAAAATGAAAACAGCAGGGGTCTAGGACCTCAGATGGGATGTGAATAACTCACTTCACATAATTAGTGTGGTCAATAAGAAATGCTGTCTGAAATGATACTACAGATACTTGCATTATCACATAACATTAGCAGGTGTGGGCTATTTAGCTAATAAAAGCACCTAATTTTCTCTTCCCTCTTCAGATCATAAAGGACCAGAAGCTGTTGATTATCGTTGGCGGGATGCTGCTAATCGACTTATGCATCCTCATCTGCTGGCAGATTGTGGATCCACTTAGGAGGACTGTGGAGGAATACAGCCTGGAGGTCAGTCATCTTGTCTAAACTTGTGGTCACTTGCAGCGCTTTTGGTAATGAAGCTTACCTTAGCTGGTGGGGAGTCTTGGTGACATAAAGTCTTGCTAAAAATGCCTGAGTGTTTTGAGTTTAACCAAACAAAATGTCTGCTATAGGCTCCTGCACGAGCATCTTTGTTGTGCCTGTTATTTTTGGGTCAGGATGTTAGCCATTGCTGCCTCCTGTGCCCATCCCGTGGCCGGACATTTGCCAGCTTGAATGGGAGACTTTGGCAAGCTCCACTGGAAAAGAGGCACTTGGCATCGTTTCATCTTCGCTGGAGAGTTGGCATGGCAGGGAGCAGAAATTAAAACTGCTACAGTATACTGTGACTGTAAAGAGACTTAGATTCTCTGAGATTGGTGCAGGATTAGTCTAGCTTTGCGCGCAATTGGCTCAATTGAACATACTGTAGCTCTGGCATTAGAGGTTGATGATGTGTGAAGTGTGTTTTCAGTTAGGCATAGCATATTAGCACATAACTATCAGTGATATTAAGGGAATCCACACATTAGCAAGGCAAGTGAATATTTCTATACTCAGAGGTATTAGTCGCTTTGGTTGAATTGGGTGATTTATTTTTTATTTCATATTTCTGTGTTGAGCATACTGCCTGAAGTCAGTAGGAGTGCCCATTTTTTTTTATCACTGGTGCAGTGAGGACCCACTGGCGAAAGGATCTGGCTATAATAGTGATTTATTAATGAAGTATACAGCAGCTGTGGTTTAGGAAAGCTAATTGTTTGAGTACATCTGCTCACTTTGCTCCACATGAAACTTCAACCAGGGACACTTCAAGCTGTGCATGTTGTTGTTGTTTTTGAGAATATCTGCAAATATCGATGCAGATAGTCTCAAAATAGATGATAAATCAATAACATATAGATGATTACAAAATTCACTGGTTTAACCAAGTCTGTTAACCTAATCAAATTATCAGATACATAAGATGATGGAATATGTTAGGCCAAGGGATACTTCAAATCCATAATCCAGTTGTAGTTTTTATAATCTGAGTGTATTAAAGAACAACTCTTCACTCAAAAACTGTAGCCAGGCAAGAAATTTCAAGTGAAGATTTGTTTTTTCTGCTTAACTGGATATGGATATGAACATACTGGCACAGAATGTTGGGCACAAACACTTCACATGAATATTCCAAGCACAGAATGTTGCGAACAAGGACTTTGCACTAACATTCCAGACGAACATTCTGCCCAAACATTCTGTGCACAGAATGTTAGGTACGAACATTCTGCTTGAACATTCCGCGAACAGAATGTTGGGTACAAACATTCCGCACAAATATTCCATGCACAGAATGTTGGGCAAAAACACTTTGCACGAACATTCAGCACAAACATTCCGTGCACAGATTGTTGGGTACGAACACTCCGCCCGAACATTCCGTGTACAGAATTTTGGGTAAGAACATTTCCCATGAACATACTAGCACAGAATTTTGGCCACAGACACTTTGCACGAACATTCCATGTACAGAATGTTGGGCACAAACATTTCGTGTACAGAATGTTGGGTACGAACATTCCGCACGTACGAACATTCTGCCCGAATATTCCGTGCACAGAATGTTGGGCAAAAACACTTTGCACGAACATTCCGCCTGAGCATTCTGTGCACAGAATGTT